AGAGAGAGTGTGTGGATGTTGTTGAGGTCCCCATAGAGAGAGAGGAGGAGAGAGAATGTGGATGTTGTTGAGGTACCCTAGAGAGAGAGAGAGGGAGAGTGGGATGTTGTTGAGGTACCCTAGAGAGAGAGAGAGAGAGGGAGAGTAGGTTGTGATACAACACATTGTAATCGTCAGATATGCCGCGATAGCTTTTTTAAAAAAACTCAACTTTTGGGTTTCTCAGACCGTGTAGGTCTAAGGTTATTGGCTTTGTTGTTTAAACCGGGGGGGGGGGGGTATAAACAGGCGACCAGCTAATTAAAAGGAGGAAAAGGAGAGGCTATTGTTCAATAATGAAGACAACTGCTAATTAAAAGTTTAATTACATTTTTTTTATAATAAAGCAGGTTGGCCATGGCAGAATATCGGTATTGTCGTGTATTTAATCAACCGTCTGATAATTAGCGTACACAAAACTATAGTCTGTTACGTGGTGTACAAAAAACTGTTAGTTAAACACCATTCTATGGTCTGTTATGTGTACACAATTTCTGTGGTCAGTCAACTGTACAGAATTCTATGGTCTGTTATGTGGTACAGAACTCTATGGCCTGTTATGTGCTGTACACAATTCTATGGCCTGTTATTTGTACATAATTCTGTGGTCAGTCAACTGTACACAATTCTATGATCTGTTATGTGTACAGAAACTCTATGGCCTGTTATGTGCTGTACACAATTCTATGGCCTGTTATTTGTACATAATTCTGTGGTCAGTCAACTGTACACAATTCTATGATCTGTTATGTGTACAGAACTCTATGGCCTGTTATGTGCTGTACACAATTCTATGGCCTGTTATTTGTACATAATTCTGTGGTCAGTCAACTGTACACAATTCTATGATCTGTTATGTGTACAGAACTCTATGGCCTGTTATGTGTACAGAATTCTATGGCCTGTTATGTGTACACCATTCTATCGTCTGTTATGTGTACAGAATTCTATGGTCTGTTATGTGTACAGAATTCTATGGCCTGTTATGTGTACAGAATTCTATGGCCTGTTAGGTGTACAGAATTCTATGGCCCAGTATCTAGTGTTACCACCCGTCGTTCTTGTCTGTTCAGTATTGAACCCAAATCGATTGTATGGTCAGTAAAGAGGATGGACAAACGAGTGTACACAATAAATGTACACATGCGTACAAAGTGAACCAGGTCTCCAGCTGGGAAGATGGTAAAATCAAATTAATTAAGGGAGAACTGAATGGTTAATTAGCACTGATCAAATATGAAAACATTGATGTCGTATTAGATGAATTTTTTCATGAATCCAAGCATGAAGTCGTAGTGTACTACCGGATCTTAGCTGATCAAGAGAGATACCCCTTTAGAACGTTTGGTATTTAGAGGTATAAACTAGAGTTTATCATTCAATGGCTTGTGTTTGTATATATATATATATATATATATATATATATATATATATATATATATATATATATATATATATATATATATTATATATATATATATAGATTTTATATATATTTATATATATTTATATATATATATATATATATATATATATATATATATATAGGGCCCTATATATATATATATATATATATATATATATATATATATATATATATATATATATATATATATATATATTATATATATATATATATATATATATATATGTATATATATATACATATATACATATATATATATAGGCCTATGTATATCTATATATATATATCTATCTATGTATCTATATATATATATATATATATATATATATATATAGAGAGAGAGAGAGAGAGAGAGAGAGAGAGAGAGAGAGGAGAGAGAGAGAGGGAGAGAGAAACATCCAAAGTAGTGCCCATGTATGATGCGATGATGTAAGCGTATAATCACCAGTACACCGAGGTGACAAAGTTCCTGGTACAGTGCCAGCCATGAATCGTGTGCCTTACTCTCTGATCCGATTGTTTATAATTTTATTATCCCCAGCAGAAGATCAACAGTTTTTGCCATCATTGATCTGTCGCACAGACCTTCATGCAGACGGTACTTATCCGTTTAGCGGGGCCGTCATTTTAATGACGTCACGTCTGAAACACGCCCTGCATGATGACGCCATAGACCTGTCAGTCAGGGCGGATCAGGTTCGGTAACTCCACCTCTAATGAGCAGCGTTATTCTCCCCTGGTATTGAATGAAACAATAGGGGCCTACCCACGTGACATTTAATAGAACAAAATGTTTTTATCAGTCCGGTACATGGTTGAATGGTGAATTTGTTCAGATGCAATTGTTTGCGTTGTTGGATGATAACATTAACAAAAGTGTTTGGTAATGATGATGCTATAGAAATGGGATCCCAGACAAAAAGGCCCGACATGGACAAAAGGCCGACATGGACAAAGACCGACATGTACAAAGATCGACATGACATAAAACCGACACTAAAATGGTCGATGTCAAAAACTGACTGGACAGAATGTCTATATTATGTCTATATTATGATTTTTTATCTTTCGGCCTATTTTTATATAGGATTATAGTCCGCAAACGACCCTTTTATACGTGTCGGCCTTTTGCGGTTGTCGGCCTTTTGTCATACACCCGATAGAATGTATACAAGCAATGTTTCAGCTGAGGCAATAACAGTAGCTCTACCATGCTTTAAAGGCTAGCTCTAATTGGTAGCATTTGAGTGGTAAAGTTAAGTTCCGTAATTTCGAATGTAACGGTACAGTAGGGGCGAGTGAAGTAGAGTTCACCTGTTTCTG